ACCATCCACTAGAATTATCTTGGTTATGACGCATTGGTACTGGTGTTAACCTGTATAATGTAAGTTCAGTGTCAATAATCAGTGGTATTACTATATCGAATACTAATCTGTCGTTCGAATAGTAGATTCTTATTTTTGTAATTTTTTGAAATTAATTTATTTCATATCTCTTTGTTCCCATCGGAATACTGTATATTTTCTTTATATTTTGTTCTATTGCTTTTAATGTTGATGCTAGTTCTTGCGGTGTCATAAGACTTGGATGTATCATACCTTCTCTAGCGGCAGTTACTATTTGTCCCAATGTTTCTGTTTCGTAGGAATATTGATTAATAATTATTGTATATAAATTATGTATTTCATTTTTCATTAGTAAATCTAATATATCATTTGTTTTGTTTTGTATTTTTGACATTTTTTCGTATAGTTTTTGTTCCTTTTCCGTAATATTATTGTATAATAATATATTTTATATATTAACATATTTTTTGTACCAAAAAAAGACCAGTGTGACCTTTGCGAAAGTTATAAAAATGCCAACGATGAAGAAAAATAAAAATTAAACTAGTATGAACAGCACCTAAAAGAAAAGACTTTGGCAAGAATAGAAAAAAATAACGACAAAAATAGGACAGATGGTACCATTGTAGCTGTTTATGATTTGCAAGCGGTTATGCAGGTACCAAAAGGACAAGTATCACTCTTTTTTATAAGTCAAGAATTAATTGCCTGAATTTTACTGTCAGTGACTTAGATGCAAAGAACGTGGTTTGTTACTTTTGGGATGAGACCGAAGCTTCGAGTGGAGCAGTCGAAATTGGTAAATGTGTACTTAACTATATCAACGCTATAATAGATGAGAACCCGGGAAAAGATATAGATTTAATATTCTACTCAGATAATTGCGGAGGACAACAAAAGAATAAATATTTGTTGTCTGTATATGCTTATGCTGTTATCAACTTGAGAGTGAAATCGATAACCCATAAGTTTCTAATATGTGGTCACTCCCAGAACGAAGGTGATAATATCCACAGTGTCATTGAAAAACAAATTAAGAGGCACTTATAATCAGGGTCAATCTATACACCTCAAACATATTCGACTTTAATTCGCACAGCCAAAAAAACTGGAAGTCCTTACAAAGTAGTTTTATGACGTCAAGGTTTTACAAGAATCGTGGGGCACCAATTTCAGTACAGATGAAGATAGAAATCAAGTTAATTGGCATGACATCAAAATCCTAAGGGTCGAAAAGGAGCATATCCTGGAGCATTTTTCTATAAATCATATTTCGAGGATGAAACTTTCAAAAAACGTATGTGCGCAAGAGAAAAGCTGCAAATCAAGCTTTTATTTCGAATAATCTGACTGGAGCATACGCTGAAAAAATTCCATTTTCTGATGCAAAAAAGAAAGACATTCAAGAACTTATCAACAAAAATTGTATTCCAAGACAATATTATGAATCCTATTTTAAAAAATGTGTTAGGACATAACTAAATTTGTGTAATGTTCCTATTAATGTATGAAGAATGAACAAAATATTTAACATTTTTTTTTAATTTGACTATTTACAATTATGTAGGTAGAAATACAAATAAATCTATATTATTTTTTTCAAATTGTAGAACTTAGCAAGTGCTTTAAAAGGAAAATGTTTAAGCAAATGTTTATGATAAAAGTTTAAATTTTGTTTCGTTATTTTATTTTAAGTCAAAAATTAATTGAAAGACTATTGAACTATCGTTATTAAATTCCGTTAAGGGGGGGGGGGGGGCTGCAGCACTACATTTTTTCCATACATTTAGACTAATAAGCGAAAGAAAATTAAACATACTTCCAGTAGCTCGATTTCAATTTTGAAAACGGAATTCGATTTGCATTCCTCTTTTCTAAGTTTACTCGGAAGTGGATTTTTATATATTTAATTTCGTCCCTATCTACAACTAAGTTAAGTATAAGTTTATTTTGAGAAAAATGTAAACTTATTATGCATTATATTATATTACCTAAAAATAAAATCGTAAATCTACTTCCGAGCAAACCTAGAAAATAGACTAACGAATATAATCATCTTTTCAAAATTAATATAAGTCGATCAAAACAAGCTGAATTTTCATTTCTCTTTTGGTACTGTTTGCATAAAATTGCTGTCCTAGAGCAGGAGCAAAAGTATTTACTTCGTGTTCATTGACTTGTGCATGCGCGAATGGGCGTTAGAACATTTCTAAGAATCTTAGTAGCCATAAAAATAGTAGCCTCATTCCGAACGATTATAAATCAATTAGAGCTAATGACTACGGAAATGAAATAATGTATTATATAATAATTGTAAAGTATAAAATATATGGTAATAAGTAAATTTATGTTACTACAAAACAAAATATGATTAGTTGTGTTCAACTATTCAGCCGGTTAAGTTCAATTTGTTTTTCTTGTCCGTGATTACTTTTTTAAATTTTAAAATGAATGAAGACTGGCGTTTTGGTAAAAAAGCGCGTCTCAAGCTATGTGCACCGCGGAAAAAACCAAATTTGGCTAACTTGAAACAGAAAAAACTCGAAGACCATGAAAACAATGATGAGGTAGGTATTTATAATATATTGAATATATTGAATTTTTTTTTTTTGTATCTGTTTACACGAATAACGTTAGAAGGTACATTAAAAACTTCAGTGGATTTACGCGCAAATACAATAAAAAAAAGATTCTAATTCCGATATGAAATATTTATAAATAAACTTTAGTTAAATTTTCTATAGCACACAAAAGCACACATTTTATATAATTTGAACTTCAAATGCTTGTAAAAAATTTAAGTTCTGGTAAATATTTTTTTAGATTCTGAGCGGAGCGATTAATGTATTGATTTTACAATGCTGTTTCCCAATAATTTTCAAAAACGTGGTGAAAAATAAATGAAAAATTAAAAAGAAAACGGTTAATTTTATGCAAAACTGATTTTTAACAAAATCGATTTTGGCTTTTGGTGTAACTCTAAAAGAAATTACAGTAGATACATGAAATTTTGATTGAATGTTTAAATAAGCATTGTCTTCACACCATAACATTTTCAAAATATTTTTTTTTCTATAAATAACAATAACATTTTGCTTGTTGGATATAAAATCTTGAAAATTTAATAGAAGGCTCCTAATATTATGTTTCAAAGGCAGAAAAAAAAATGCATTGTCACAATTTTTTATAAGCATTTAAAGTTTAAATTTTGACAAATTACGTAAAAATGACGAAAATTTGCAAATTATTTTGAGTTAGAAATTCATTAAAAAATTTCTTTTTAAATATAAGATTTGAGAATGTAATACAAGATTCCTCATATGTTATTTGTCTATTTTAATCAAAAAAAAAATGTTCACGCGTTTTTAAATATTATTTATATTGTTTTAAACATTTAATTTAAAAAAATATATATATATATATAGCATACATACTTCTTTTTAAACTATAGACAAATGAAATAATTGTGGGACCATCTACTTCGACTATATTTTGTTCCACAACCCCAGAAAATACATTGATTACTACAAATATTCTAGGCACACCAAAAAAAAAAAACCCGATGAATGTCTCAAGAAATTTAGAAAACTCTTTTTCATACCCTTCACAAAATGAAATCAGCGTAAAAGTTAATCCGTGGGAAACACTTGAAGGTAGACGAATTGTAGATATCAAACATCTATTTCGTTCACTACAATCAATTCACCATCAAGGTTTTAATTGTACTTTCCGTGATTTGGAGTTCTTAAACGAAATACGTAAGGGATATCTCAGCACTTTTCAATTTAAATGCAAAGTATGTGGCATTACAGAAAATATAAATAATGAGGAAGAGATCTGTAACAGTAAAAATGTTAATATTAATATGGCTATAGTAAGCGCTACAGTTAATACCGGACAAGGCTATAGTCAATTAGAAGAATTTGCTGCGACATTAAATATGCCCAATATGTGTAATAGAACGTATCAAGATTTCCATAATACTATGTATATGCATAAGAACTACATAGCATTGAATGAAATGCAGTTAGCGGGACAAGAAGAAAAACGATTAGCGATAGAAAATGGTCAAGTTGACCATTTAGGACGACCTAAAATTGCAGTAGTCGCTGATGGCGCTTGGAGTAAGCGATCTTACAAAACTAAATACAACGCACTGTCCGGAGTTGTAAGTAAAAAATAAACTACATATTATAAAAAACATAGTTCTTAAGCATATAAAATTAAATATATTCTAATAATATAAAACATGTATCTATAATAATAATTATATTATATTATTATATCGACGCCCCAGTTCAAGACTGCAACAACTATAAATAATAGTTTTTCCAGGAGAGCAATTTGAAAATATTTGAAATCTTGAAATGTTGTAATTAATATTGTAAAATTGAGATAAAATGACCAAATTTGGTATGCATCATTGACTTAATGTTCTGTTTTGAACACTACCTTGCTTTTTTATTATTATAAAAGAACAAGCAAAATTTAACTACATATTGCAGTTTTGAATTGAAATATCGCAAACATTTATGCAATAACTAGACTTATTGCGTTATTGAACTGAACTATTAAAAGCAAATATGCAACAAATATATTATTATTATTATAAAAATAATATTATTGTTTTTCATTAATGAACTGAAAAACTTTAACACTTTATCAATAACCAATTTTAATATTTATTATTTATTATTAAAAAACAAATTATAGTATAATAAAAACAATAGATCATAATTATATTAATATTTTCATTGCCTAATGAACTGAAGAATAGATAAACAAGTTTAATAAAATAGAACATTAAAAAGTTTATCAATAAGTAATAACCAATTATAATAAAAACTTTAAAAAAATTATTAAAAAAAAACAAATTACTTATAGGTAGATAAAAAAAAAAACAAGTATTTCAGTGTTAATTAATATTTGTTAAAAATATTTTAAACTATTCTTCTATTGTACTTAATTGAACTGTTTGGTTAATCGCTTTCATCAGCTTCAGTATTTTTTGCTTTAACTTCAGCTTCTAGTGTTTCATAGAAGGACCAGTGGGTCTTTGGGATTGCATTGGAATGACATAATGATACCAAATCTTTTTTTTTTTCAAGAGATATTTTAATGTCAGAGTTAAGGTTAAATAATTTTAAATCAACTAATGATTTTCTGCATTTTCTTCTTATGTCAATTATTTTGAAATCGTTATCTTTGTAACTGGTTTTGTATTTTAGTAATGTTGGATTGTCCTTTTCAATTTTTATCATTTTTATTTCATTCCATAATACATTTTAATATAATAAGTAATAACACGACAATATGATTATGTAAAAGTATAATATATAATAACGTACAACTGGACAATTAAACTGTGACTATACACACACACCGCGTACACTCGGTATGACAGCGTCTGTGCAAGTGAATATTACATACATCAAAGGCCCTATATATATGCACGACCGACGGACCGAGGTCATGTTACATCCGTGAAGAGAGTGAGTCTTATGCTCGTACATAACTAGTTACTATATTGTACACACGTGTCAAGGCTGACTACATATACTACATATTAATTGTATATTTCAACAAGATACTAACTCTTGGTAAAACATACACCTATAAAGGTCTTTAGTAAAGTCTAGTTGCACCACTGACAATAAAAGTAAAACAAAAATGTATAGACTTACCAGTAAGTATATAATATAAGTTTATAATTAATAAGTCGAGTATATGATCTTGGTGTTGACTGCAATATTAGAAAAAAACAATACAGATCACAGAAAATAATATAACAAATAGCATAATACACAATGCTGTTGATATCCAATAGGCCAAATAGATACGCGTGTATGCTGTATGCTAAGTTCCGTACAGCAATATTTAACTAGTTATAAAATTTAAACTTATAAAGCTAAAAAGAAAACAATGGAAAAAACTTTAACGCGTGGTACTAACTATAAAGTATTGGCAGCTATATACTACGGGCACTCGCGAGAGAACGCTAGTCGTTACTAGGCGGCGACAAAAATGTATAATGGTCGATTCTTAATTTTATAATATAATTGTCTCTATGATTTTTTCAGTGTATGAATAAAAATGTATAAAATATACGAATATATAGTTATAATTTGTTGAAATTTGTTGAGAATATTTTTTAAATGATTTTAACCATTTTTATCGAGACTTAAGAATTAATTTTTTCAAGTATTTCATTAAATTAAAAACTAAGAATATTTTTGTTATAGGATATTGTTACACTAATAAAACAATTAATTGTAATACCAATAAAGTAAACAGCATTATACAGCCTGCTCGCTTATCAACTCATGCAATTTCTAGTAATTCCATTATCTCTACCTGCAGTACTCAAGGTAGTAACATGAACAGCCAAGCTAACGATGGCTGGCAAAAGCAGTCTCCCAAAACCAAAAGAAATTTATCAAGTTCTTCATCGGACACTTCTTCCAACAAAACTTCGCCTAAGCTCATAGGTCCACAAAACAAAAAAATTTTTACTACACGCAACCGTTACGAACTTCTAACTCAAAATGAACCGTCAGTCATGGAAACCGGTTCACCCGCTGAACCAAATGCAGTTATACACATCAAACCTCCTCCCCCGATATTCATGAAAGGTATCTTAGACTTTCCGAACTTCTGCTCTGTACTAATCGAACTAATTGGTGTCGATAATTTCTTTTGCAAGTCTGCTGGTGACCGCCTAAAAATTCAAACCGCAAACCCTGATTCTTATAGAATACTTATTCGCTATCTTAAAGAAAGCAATGCTGAATACCATACATATCAGTTACGAGAAGATAAACCTTTACGTGTAGTTATTCGTAACATTCATCAATCTACACCTACACAACTAATAAAATCTGAACTCAAGACTCGTTGTTTCGAGGTCAGGCAGGTCTCGAATGTGCTACATAAAACCACCAAATGTCCACTCCCTCTGTTCTTTGTTGACTTAGAACCGACTGACTTTTCAAACGATATCTATAAGCTCACCTCTTTCCTACACACCAAAATAAAAGTTGAAGAGCCCTTCAAACCCAAAGTGATCAGTCAATGCAATAACTGCCAGGAATATGGTCACACTAAAACTTACTGTGGCTACCACTCTCGCTGTGTCCGATGTGGTGATTATCATCAGTCTTCTTCATGTCCATCCTCACGCTCAGACCCACCGAAATGTGCACTCTGCTCTGGAGATCATCCTGCCAGCTACAAGGGATGCTCAGTGTATAGGGAGCTTCAACGCGGCAGGAAACCTACCACTAACAGTAACTTTTTAGCAGATAATATTAGAAATAAGAATACAACTGTTAAAGACGGCCACCCATTAACTAAAACTCCAATAAATCAACCCCTTAACCACGTACCCACTACGCTCAAGCCACCTCTGGTGAATCTACCAATACAGTTCCTAACTCCACATCCGACCTCAAAAATGTCCTTGGTGAGTTCAAATCACTTATTGAACCTATTATCATTCTTCTCAATAAATTAATCACAAAATTACTTGATAAAATATAAATGTCTACTAATAATATCACTAACACTAATAATATCACTAACAAATCTACCCTTATCCTTCAATTCAATGCAAATGGCCTAAAAAATCACATTAACGTTCTTGAAACTGTATTATACAATAAACGTATAGACATCGCTCTTATAACCGAAACACATTTCACCAAATATTCACACATTAACATTCCTGGTTACAAAGTATTAAAAACAAATCACCCCGATAACACAGCGCATGGTGGAGTTGCCATTATAATTAAATCTTCAATTGTCTATCAACCTCTTCCAAATTTTTGTCAAGAATATCTACAATCCTGTGCTATAATTACAAAAATTAATAATGTCCCCGTCACCATAGCAGCTGTCTACTCTCCCCCTAAACACAAAATTACTAATCAAATTTTTACAGACTACTTCAACTCAATTAACAACAATTTTATAGCTGGAGGTGACTATAACGCGAAACATTTGGCCTGGGGATGTCGTGTTAATAATCCACGTGGAATAGTCCTCAAAAATTTCATATCAACTAAAAATTACAAAATTCTTGCTCCTCCTGGCCCCACCTATTGGCCGACTTCAGCACGCAAAAACCCCGATATCTTAGATATCTTTGTGACCAAGATACCTAGTAACTTAAACTGTTACACCGAAAATCTCCATGAATTAAATTCTGACCACTCCTCTATCTTGTTAACTATAAGTGCTTCTCCTCTAACACGTCTTGAATCTCCTAAATTATTTAAGCCCTCTACCGATAAAAACAAATTTCATGATCTTGTTAACCAACAAATACAATTAAATGTAAAACTAAAATCATCTAATGACATTGATCTTGCTGTAAATAATTTTACAAAACTTATTCAATCTGCGGCATGGTCTTCTACCTCAGAAGCTCAAACTTCATTTCATAACCCTCTTCTTCCAGAATATATTCGCCATATAATAGTAGAAAAACGCAGAGCTAGAGCTATTTTTCAACGTACCCGTCTTCCTTCTCATAAGCACAAATACAATAAATTAACAAATCATCTTAAAAAAGTTCTGGCAAAACATAAATCTGAGACTTTCACTAATTTTCTTTCCAAACTCTCACCAAAAGATGGCAGTCTTTGGAGAGCGACTAAAAATATTTGTAAATTCAAAACCTCTAACTTGCCAATTAAAAATCCTGACGGAAGTTATGTCACCTCTGACACTGATAAAGCTGAACTTTTTAAAGTACATCTATCTGATATTTTTCAACCTCACCCTGATATTTACTCTCAAACCAATACTAGTGTTGTGGAAGATTTTCTTAACTCCCCACCGTTCTTGCCATCTAATCCTATTAAACATTTCACACCTAACGATATAAAATTTGCCATAAATAAATATTCCCTTAAGAAATCTCCAGGTTTTGACCTGATTACTGCTGAAGTAGCTAGGTGTCTACCTAATAAAGCCTTTATCCATCTTTCACATATTTTTAATTCCATTATTAGACTATCATACTTTCCCATGCTGTGGAAATTTTCTTTCATCATCCTAGTGCCCAAGCCTAATAAGCCACCTGACTCAATAACCTCTTTTCGACCTATAAGTTTACTCCCTTTTTTCGCTAAAATTCTAGAGAAACTTATATTAAAACGTATCCTTCCATCTATTACTGAAAAATCCATCCTACCTGATACACAATTCGGTTTTCGCTCTTCTCACTCTACCGTCCAACAGGTTCACAGAGTTGTGGACGCCATTTCTTATTCACTAGAGAAAAAACTATACTGTACAAGCGCATTTCTGGATATCACTCAGGCCTTTGATAGGGTATGGCATGATGGCCTCCTGTATAAATTAAAAAAGTTTCTTCATCCTACATACTTTGCTATTATTAAGTCGTATCTCTCCGATCGCCACTTTCAAGTTCGTGTCGGTGATGCATTTTCTTCCATAGGAAATATATCAGCTGGTGTCCCGCAAGGTGGTATCCTCTCCCCTACCCTCTACAATATATTTGCCTCAGACCAACCAACGACACCTAATACACTAACTGCCGATTATGCAGACGATAAGGCAATCTTATCGATATACTCTGATCCCGTCATAGCTTCTCAAAATCTCCAATCTCACCTCAATCTTATGGAGAAGTGGTACACCGACTGGAGATTTAAAATAAGTCAAACCAAATCGGTTCATGCGACGTTCACCCTTAAACTCACCCCTTGCCCTGATGTCTTTATTTATAATACTCTGATTCCCAGTGATTCGAATGTTAAATATCTTGGCTTGACCATTGATAAAAGACTGACCTGGGCCCAGCATATTAAGTCCAAAAAAATTAATCTAAACTTACGCCTACGACTACTAAAAAACCTCATCCACAATAATAAATATACTCACATCAATACCAAATTACTAATCTATAAATCACTACTAAAACCTGTTTGGACATATGGTCTACAGCTTTGGGGAAACGCAAAAAAAAACTAACATAAACAAAATCCAAACATTTCAAAACATCCCACTTCGCAAATTAGTTAATGCCCCTCCCTATGTCTCTAACCACACTATACATAAAGACCTTAAAATGCCGTCAGTCTCTGAAGAAGCTAAAGCATATTATAAACGTTTCCATTTCCGCACTTTAGCCCATTCCAATCCTCTTGTCAGAAATCTTGCCAATCCTACTATCCCTGGTAACCCGCCGAGACGGTTGAAACGAAAATGGTGTCGTGATCTATTGCTACCT